GACTCCTGGCTCCTGCCCCTGGCTCTGGTTCTTGGCTGCCAGGTCCTGCTCTGACCACTAGACCTGACCGCCCACATCCCGCTGGCTTAGTTAGCAATAAGGCAGATTTAAATTAGATATTAAGAAAAACTTTCTAATTCTAAGGATGATTCAGCACAGGAACAGGTGACCTAGGGAGGTTGAGGAAACCCTGTTATTGTGGGGTTTAAGAACAGGTTGGACAAACACCTGCCAGGGATGGTCTAGGTGCACTTGTTCCTGCCTCAGCGCATGGGGATGGATTGTTTAATCTCCTGAGGTCCCTTCAACTCCACATTCCAGTGATTGTGTCAAGTGATGCTAGGTCCTCTGCACTGTGGTCAGTTTCCCCCATAGGGTATCAGGTACTGAGCAAAGTAAATGCTTATGGGGCTGGGAGAAGTGGTAGGGCGGAAGGAAAGAGAGCAGGGCATGCTGAGAAGACAGTGCTTTGCTAGCTGCAGTGCTGTCGGTTGATACGATATAATGCAACAGGACATGAGTCGACTTGGCTTCCTGTCTAATTTCTCCAAGATAAGGAGGCTGCAAAGCTCAGAATCCTCAGAACTCGACCTGCCCTGATAGCGTCTGAGCCACCATGGGAACCCGAGGTGACGTGTATCCATTGGGTGAGTGGAACAAAGTCCATGGGCTGAACTCGGGTGGGGCTAGGAGAGTCCAGAGGGGCCCATGGGTCTGTCTTCACTGGGGCTCAGAGGTGAATATTCCAGCTTGAGAAGACATAGTCATGCTAGCTCTCATCTAACTAGAAATAGAAGTGTCGGCATGGTGTTGGGAGGGTCTGGCCACCATGAGTGCGTACCTGTGGTCTTGGACGGGATCGTAGTCGGGGCAGGGAGCCTCTCCTCTTACTTGCCCAAGAGCGGCCACACATCAATTTTTGGCTGCCAGCTGGGTCAGAGCAAGCCCGGGTATGTCTCCTCGAGCTAGAATTTACACCTAGGCAGACGCTACATTGGTGTAACGTGCAATTTCCTCTGCTCCCTCCACTGCTCACGTTGCACCAACTGAGACTCCATCCAGACTCACTGAAATGTCCTTAGATTTACTGGGCCAGATTCCTGGGGCTGGCTGAGATGGGCTCATCTGAGATGGGCTCAGTATGAGACCAGAGCATGGAGAGGTCAAAGATGGTGTCAGGGCTGAATCCCCACTCTGGCACCTCGAGTGCAGGAAGTGGGGGGCCTGCAAGGAATTTAAAAATTAATACTTGCCACTCCAAGCTTGTATTGCACTCTCAAGGTTACAGCTTTTCTCTGACCTTGGCTTGGTAAACGCTGCCACCACACAAATGCAAAAAATCGCCTTCGAACCCAGGCAGCAGCACTTCAGAATTCCTTCCTGTGGGGTACCCTCAAGCCCTTTCACTCCCTCTGGGGAAGAGCTGAGAAAGAAAACAAAGGAAATTACCTGTGGCTACCAGCTAATCAAACAACATGCACAAACCTTTTAGGACACCAAAAATCCAATCCTGTTCTTAAAGGTAAATTTATTAAAAACAAAAAGGAAAAAATACATCTGGAACTTAGGCTTTTGGGCTAGATCTTAAAAGAAAGAATTACAAAAATTAAGCACCCAAAAAACCTTTCATCTGGGTTCAGCTTAAATGTTAAAAGTGAACAAAAGCATCTGGGGTTAGCACAGAGGAGATCCACGAAGCAAAATAAAGCTAATTGCGTCTAGCTAAACATTCCTAATTTACTTACATATTTGGGGCGGGGGGGGTTCAAATAAGTAATTCTAGGTATGAACAATTGAGAAATACACCTTGCCATTAATGTACTCAGTGGCTAGGTAGTCTCGTGCCAGAATTGGAATATGCGTTCCATCTATCGCCCCTCCGCAGTTAGGGAAGCCCATTTGTGCAAAACCGTCCACAATGTCATGCACATTTCCCAGAGTCACGGTCTTTCAGAGCGGGATGGGATTAATGGCCCTGCAGACTTAAATCAACACGAGTCTAACGGTTGACTTTCCCACTCCAAACTTGTTAGCGACCCATCAGTAGCAGTAGCTTCCACAGTGCAATCGCTACGCGCTTCTCTAATGGCAGGGCAGCTCTCATTCTCGTGTCTTTGCGCCGCGAATGTGGCTTTCCTCATCTGAACGTTCTGCAGCCACTGCTCGTCGTCCCAGACGTGCATCATGATGTGATCCCAGCACTCAGTGCTTGTTTCCTGAGCCCAAAAGCAGCGTTCCGCTGTGGTCAGCACCCCTGTGAATGCCACAAGCAATCTCGTATCGTAGCCACTACACGTGTCAAGGTCAATGTCGCACTCCTCTTGCCTTTGTAGTTTAAGGAATAACTCCACTGCCACTCATGACGTGTTGGTCAGAGTGAGCAGCATACTGGTCAACAGTTCGGGATCCATTCCTGCAGCCCAAAGAGGCAGGACACGCGATACACAAACCTTTGAAAGATGGCGCCAAATGCAGACAGAAGCACAGGGATTGCTGGGATGCAAAGCAATACATCATGGGCCACTGGGACAAGACCTAGGATGCCCTGCGACCCCCTCCGCTTTCCCATATCTCTTAGCGGCAGAAGAGAAAGAGGTGTTCTGTAGGATAGATGCCCAGAGTGCAGCGCTCCGAATATCGCTGCAATGCCGCAAATGTGAACAGCTGACAGTGTGAACACACAACAGCGGTTTCCATCACATGGAGTCGAACAGACGCGCTGTCCTCTGTCAAACTCTGGGCTAACTCAATCCCCAGCTATGGGCTGGATGCAGGAATCCCTGGGTCATTCTCTGGCCCGTGCAGTGTGAGAGGCTGGATCAGCCTGCTCCCTTCCTGGCCTGAGAATCTCTGAATTAATGGCTCGGCCTTCGCTCCCCAGGAACTGTGATGCCGTCACCTCCCCAGCTCCCCCATCCTTCAGAGTCTCCCCTGGGGGAGATCGACCGGAGCTGAAATTCAAAGCCGCGCCCCCTTTCTAGCTCCCTTCCTAGGAAAGCACAATGGGGTTCCACAGCCCGCTGTGCTTCCCCTTTCACATCACCTCGGGCACTCGGCCCTGGGTCCTTTATCATCTGGTTCTTCGCACCCGCGTGTGGTTAATGATTCAGAGCAACAGGCTATAAATAAACACCAGCAGGAGGGGGCGGATCTGGGCCGATACCTGAGTGAAAAGCAGATCAAAAGCAGCCTGTGTTGTCTTTTCGCCCCATCCCCACCTCAGTGCTCCCCCTTTCCAAGTGGGTTTGTCCATTGCATGGACGCACTGGGTGACCTTGGGTAAGTCATTACCCCTCGCTGTGCCTCAGTTTCCCCATCCTCCCTTTGCCTATTGCTGTGAGCCTTTTGGGTCACAGACTGGCTCACTGTGTGTCTGTGCAGCACCGAGCGTCATGTGGCCCTGATCTCAGTCGGCTCTGGGCAGCACCTGGCACAATGGGGGCCCTGATTTTGGCAGGCCCATATTTCCGATTAGGCACAGTAGGCACATGCCTAGGCACATGCCGGCATTTTATGAGGCGCCTAAAAATTCAAATTTTGCTCCTCCCAGGTCCTAGCAGGGGGCAGGGCCGGCTGAGAGGGAGACAGCCCTACACAGCCCTGCTGCTGGAGCACTCCTCCTTCCACCCAGCAGACAGCATCACCTCCCAGGGGGCCAGTGAGTGCAGGCTGGGGGGCAGGGCTTTGGAGAGTGGGTCCCTGGGGGAGTTCATGGGGCAGCTCTGGGGAGAGGAGGTGGGGGGCGCTGGGCAGTGGGCAGACAGGGGTGCTGGTTGGCAGGGCACCTAAAAGTTAAAAGTGGTGGGGTTCCCCCGCCACCCATGGCAGTTAAGAGCTTCTGGGCAGAAGGGGTACCTTGCAGCTCCTGGCTGCCTCCAGGTGATGGGGACCCTGGAGCTCCAAGCCGGTCTGGGGGAGATGACCACCAAGCCCCTTTGCCTAGGGGCGCCCTAAGTATAAATCCAGCCCTCACAATGGGGGTTCCTGGTCTTTGTTGCTAATACACACAGTAAAAGACCCAGTTGCCCTGGCCAATAAGTCCAGATCCCAACTGGAACCAGGTACAAATATTAGCAGAGATCCCAGCTCGGGCTGATTTCCCAGATCACCAGGTTTCTGCATTTTTAATTCCCGCATCGGCAGGTCACTGACTGGCCATTGGCCCAGGATTGGCAGGACGGGGGCAGCTGGGGGTGTCTGCAGCTGAGTGGCGGTTATCATCTGCCCATGGTGCCTTACCCTGTCTCTGCCTTCCAGGGCTCTGCATCGCCCTGTGCCTGGGGGGCACCATGGCCCTGAATCATGGCGTACAAGGTAAGGCTGACTCCTCCTGGCTAACCTTCCCCAGCGCTCTCGGTTGCCCGGGGTCTCCGGCCTCCGCCCCCTCCGGTCCCTTTCCCTTGTGGGAGGAGAGCAGAGTCAGGGGTCTGGCAAGCCAGGAGCAGCCCCTTGGCGTGGGCATCTTGGGGTGGGTTTATAGAGCACGGTGGGTGCGTGCAGGGGAGAGGAGAAGGCCCCTGTGTAGGCCTCCCCTTCCCTCCCCAGCCCCGTGGCCAGCAGAGAATAGACACTGGGGCCCAGGGCTCTACACTGGGGGCTGGAGGGAGGGGCAGATCCCCTTTGTAGCCAAGGGCCGTGTTATTGACCAGCCCGAATCAAACCCCTGATGGCTCAGACGTTAGAAGTGGCATTTGCAGATGGCTCCCCTCCCCAATATCAGGCTGACCTGAAACCTGGGACCCACGTGCCCAGCTGGGAGGGGGGAGTTTGGGATCAGGACTCTGCACCCAGAGCCCAGCTCTGCTGCAAATCCCAAGATGGGGCAAATTCCCATTGACCCACTGGGGTCCCCCAATGCTGCACCCACCCTGCTCCGTCTGCTCCCGTCCCAAGCCCTGCAGCTGGCTAAGCTGCGCTGGGATCCTTCCCCTCACGCTGGCCAGAGGGACGGGTCCCAGCGGAGCCCCAGACACCAGGCAGCTAAAGGATCCAGGAGCCCCCGTAGGCAGGTCACAATCTGGGTCATGGGAGGCAGCTCAGGATCCAAACTAGCCTCGTGCCCGACTCCGCTCTCAGTCAATCCAGATCAGAGCTGGGCAGGAATTTCCCAAGGACCCATTTTTTGCCAGAAAATGCCGATTCGGTTCAGAGGAATGTTTTTTTTTACTCGGGAAAAAATTACCCGGGGGGGGTGGGGGGAGGAGATGAAATAATTTTCAAAACGAACAATTCCCGATTTCCGGTTCAAAGTGAGGTTTTGAGTTGAAATTGACTCTAATGAGAGTAACTACGACAGGAACAAAGAGGAGAAAAATTGGGTCAGATCGAAAACGTTTCACTTCCACCGACGCCTGGCTACGGCGGCTCTGCCTGTTTGTGCCGGGGGCACCCTGGGTAGCCAAGGCCCCTGTGCAGCCGAGGGCAGTTTGTTGTCAGGTGGTGGATGGCATCGGAGCTGTTTGCCAGGCGCTCAGGGCCGAAAATCAGCAAATGGGGCGTGTGAAAGCAGTGGATCCCACTGTGTGTGTCTGGGGGCGGGGGTGGGGGGAGCTGCTCTGCACTGGCTGACCCTGCCCAGCTGTTCCGGCCCCTGCAGGTACCACTGAGGACTGCAACAGCCATGTGCTGTGCCCAGCAAATGCCAAGTGTGTGAACAACACCCACTGCACCTGCCTGGATGGATACCAGACACATGGGAATCGCTTCTTCACCGACCCAACGGAGATCTGTGACGGTAACGGGGCTCCCACATTGTCCTGGTGGGGCTGGGACAGAGCAGGGCATTAAGTGCCGGAGCAGCCAACTCCACTGACTTCAGGGCCTTTTGGGGGGGCTCAGCCCGGCTGGGGAATGAGGGGGGGCAGCAGCACGGGTGAGCGCCGCCCTCCTGGGGATCGAACCGGGGGCTCCAGAGTGAGCAGCAAGAGCGGCTGCAGCAGGAGCCAGGAGCGTTGGGCTCTGTGGATTGGGCACAGGGTGTGGGGGGCCCATCACACTGACCCGTCTGAATCCCAGCCTGGGCCCTAATCAGCCCCTGGGTGTCCTGGGGCAGAGGGCCCCGATGGAAGCAGAATGGGGCAGCCCTGGATATACTTCCCCCCGGCACCCTCCTTGCCACGCAGGGATCCAAGGAGGGAGGGGAGAGAGGAGAGGCAGCTTGTCACCCCCCCAACACACAGGGAGCCTGGAGCCCCAGAGGGAGTCTCCCCCATCCCCTCAGATGGGGGATCTTGGTGTTTGTGGGGCCAAACCCCCCATACCTGGGACAGGAGGCTCGGGGGGGGGGGCTGTTTCCGACATTCCAGCAGAAATGGGTAACTGAGAATCAGGCCTTTAATCATTAACCGCTCAGGGCCCCGGTTGCCTGGGTCCCATCACCCAGCTCAGTACGGGGGACTTGGGGGGTGATACGGGGAACGTCTCCCTGCCAGGCCTGTACAGAGCATCCCCTCTTGCATTACAGATATTAACGAGTGTCTGGGGCCGAGCCCACCAGACTGCGGATGCAACACACAATGCACCAACGCGCCTGGGAGTTACCACTGCACCTGTATGTATGGCTACGAGCTGAGCTCTGGGAAGGCCAACTTCATGCACGCGAGTGAGAACACCTGCCAGGGTGAGCTCTCCCCTGGCCCCATCTGCTGAGACCCCCCCTCGCACACACAAATGCTCGTTCCCAGGGCCGGCTCTGGCTTTTTGGCTGCCCCAAGCAAAAAAAAAAAAAAACGGGGCGGCGGCCGGATCCAGGGTGCAGGGGGACTCCCTGCACTGCAGATGTGCTCTGGGGGGGAAGGGAGGGAGCAGGGGGAGAGAGAGAAGGGGGGCGGCCAGGGCTTGAGCGGGGCACTGCCACGCGGGCCCTCCCGCTGCACCGCCTGCCAGGTGGGCTCCGTGCCGCTCCGGTCGGCTGGGAGAGAAGGATGCGGGCTGCCCTGCCAGGCTTGATGCAGGGTGCGCCCGTCCTCCATGCCGCTGCCCGCTACAGGGTGGCCGTAGCGGAACAACAAAAACAAAAGCAAAACAAAAAAAAGCGGCCGTGCCACCCTAGGATTGGGCGGAATGCTGCCTCCTACAAGCTGCCGCCCCAAGCACCAGCTTGCTCGGCTGGTGCCTGGAGCCGGCCCTGCTTGTTCCAGGCCTGGCGCTGCACTGAGGCTGCTGCCGGATTTGGCAGGGCCTGAAGCTGTGATGAGCTGTGACCCTCCCTTGCTCCCGCAGAGCATGGGGCTGGGCTCACCCCTGTGCCCGGTGCTTGGACAGGGAATAAACCCTCGGGGTTAGAAACAGACCCACCGAGCAAACTCCTTGTGCTGCAGAGATGCGCTGGGGAGAGGGGAGGGGACACTCGCTGGCCACAACACGCAGCATCTGAGCTGCTAGTGCCCAGCGGAGCCTGGGAAGTGGCCCCGGGAAAGGCTCTGGGAATTGGGCAAAAACGTTCTTGAATTCGCCCCCATCCCCTATGGCTTGAGCTTCTGCAGGGGGCAGGCAGCCATGCTCTGCTCTGGCCTCTAGGGCCGGGGTGGCCAACCTGAGCCTGAGAAGGAGCCAGAATTTACCAATGTACATTGCCAAAGAGCCACAGTAATACGTCAGCAGCCCCTTATGAGCTCCCCGCCCCGCTCCCAGCTCCTCCCACCCACTGACAGCCCCACCTATCAGCGCCTCCCCCTTCTTTCCCGCATCTCCCAATCAGCTGTTTGTTGGCGTGCAGGAGGCTGTGGGGGGAGGAGTGAGGTCACGGCAGGCTCAGGGGAAGGGGCAGGAAGGGGTGGAGTGGGGGCAGGGCCTGTGGCAGAGCCAGGGGTTGAGCAGTGAGCACCCCCAGCACACTGGAAAGTTGGCGCCTGTAGCTCCAGCCCCAGAGTCGGTGCCTGTACAAGGAGCCGCACATTAACTCCTGAAGAGCCACATGTGGTTCTGGAGGCACAGATTGGTCACCCCTGCTCTAGGGGGTGCAGCTGCTAGTTGGAGGGACCCTCCCACTGCCCCAAGTTCCCTGCATGGGCAGCGGTGTGAGGGGGCATGTGCTGTGACTGGCATTGCCAGCCCAGCCCCAGGCTTCCCTGAGGCACCCCCAGTTCCAGCAGTCTGGTGCGGGGACATGGGGTTGGCGTTCGTCGGCTCCGTGTGCTGTCCCGGCTCTGGGAGGGTCGCCGGCCCGGCAGACCTCCATCGAAGTGCCCAGACAGCCCAGAGTCGGATCAGTGGTGAAGGCGCTCGGCCGGGTTTATCGCCAATGCAGCCCGGTGCCAGCGCCCATAGATGCCACAGGGACACTGCCACACGTCTGCCTCTGACAATGGACCCCGAGAGTTACAGACTGAGACAAACCATCCGGGATAAACAACCTACATCCCAGCTTGCGTGTTTCACAACATGCTTGTTACTCCCCTCCCTCCCCGTGCCTTTCTCCTGCTGCTTCAGACATTCCCCACCTGTCAAACCGTCTTATCATGTGCTAGGCAGCGGAATGTGGTTACACAGTCACTGTGTTGTAGCAATGCCGGCAATACCGGTGCTGAGTTCATGCACTGGACAGTGAACTTGCAGACAACCCTCTGCTTTGTGAGAGGGTGTGACTGGTGCCTGGGGGGGCCACACTGAGATTGCTCCATCCGGGCAAACTGCAGAGTGGGGCCGACAATCCCCCAAACTGCTCGTTATTTCTAATACTTAGATTCACCAAGGCAGCAACAAACCAGCTGCTCCAATACCGTGCTGCTCACCCAGAAGCCAGAAACACAGCTCCCGGCTCCTTTTCTAGTGTGGCTTTAAAGGCAGAATTTGGGTCATTTAGCCTGTGTCAGGGTTCCTTCCCCACTCTGAACTCTAGAGTACAGATGTGGGGACCCGCATGAAAGCCCCCTAAGCTAATTTCTACCAGCTTAGGTTAAAACCTGGTACGCTGCCACCACAAAGTGATTTAACAAGAAACAGGGAAAGGACCACTTGGAGTTCCTCTTCCCCCCAAATATCCCCCCAAGCCCTTACTCCCCCTTTCCTGGGGGGGCTTGAGAATAATATCCTAACCAATTGGTTACAAAGTGATCAAAGACCCAAACCCCTGGGTCTTTGGACAATGGAAAAATCAGTCAGGTTCTTAAAAGAGGGACTTTATTAAAAAGAAAAGGTAAAAATCATCTGTAAAATCAGGATGGAAAATAACTTTACAAGGTAATCAGATTCAAAGAGCCCAGAGGAACCCCCTCTAGCCTTAGTTTGAAGTTACAACAAAATAGAGATAAACCTCCCTCTAGCAAAGGGAAAAATCACAAGTTGAGAAAACAAAGATAAACTAACACGCCTTGCCTGGCTGTTACTTACAAGTTTGAAATATGAGAGACTTGTTCAGAAAGATTTGGAGAGCATGGATTGATGTCTGGTCCCTCTTAGTCCCAAGAGCGAACACACCCAAAACAAAGAGCACAAACAAAACCCTCCTCTTCCCAAGATTTCAAAGTATCTTGTCCCCTTATTGGTCCTTTGGGTCAGGTGTCAGCCGGGTTACCTGAGCTTCTTAACCTTTTACAGGCAAAAGGATTTTGGTGCCTCTGGCCAGGAGGGATTTTATAGTATTGTACACAGGAGGGTTGTTATCCTTCCCTTCATAGTTATGACAGCCGGCAAGTTGCTTAACCTTTTCTGGCTCGGTGTCCTACAGGGCCGGACTTTTCCTCTGAGCATCACTTCTGCTGACTTTGGTTCGGGGCTTGTGCCAGGCCCCTGCTCCAGGCTCTCTCTGCTCCAGCTCTATGTCGCTCCCCCAGGGCAGTGCTGGGAGGGGCATGTGCTGTGACTGGCATTGCCAGCCCACCCCCAGGCTTCCTTCAGACACCCTGGCTTCCAGCGGCATGGCGGGGGACACCTGGGCTGACCAGCTCTGCGTCGCTCCCCCAGGGCAGGGAGTTTGTCCAGGGCACAGACCAAGAGGTCTCTCTGGGCTCGCAGTGCAGTGGATTTGGAGACCCCTTTGCGCTGGTGAATCTGGCGCAGGCACCAATGCCAGTCCCCTGGCAGGGGATACCAACATGCGGGTGTCTCCACCGGGGGACGCTGGAAGCTGCCAGCTGCTAAATCGCTTTGTGCTGGTCCCTGTCTGTGCTCCCTGACCCCCCGAGTCAGCAAAGCACATGCTTGGCTCCAGCCCTGCCCAGCTACGCACTTAACTCGGCTCCAGTGGGTCTCAAGTGCATGGCTGAGCTCGTGTCGACAATCCCAGGCACTAAAAAATATCAGATTCGCTTAGAAAATCACGAGCTTTAGAAAGACCAATGAGCCAGGGGCAGAGTGTGGAGTGAATTGAATTGGAAAGGGGCAAATTCAAAGCAGACACAGGGAAATATTCCTCCACCCGGGGCAGCAGTACCCTCTGGGACTCACTGCTACTGCGGCCTGGAGGCTGTGAATGTGTCGAGTTTTAAAGAGGGACTGGCTGTTTCTATGGGGAGCGACAATGCCTGGAGCTGTACTAGTTAATGGACAATAATTCTGGGAGGGAGGGAAAAGCTCCCACTTCAGGGCTTAAGCCGCCCTCCGACTATTAGAGACCAGGAGGAGACCTTCATGGGGGCAGATTATCCCCCGGCTCCTGCTGCGGGACTCTTACACCTTCCTCTGTAGCACCCGTCGCAGACGGGATACCGGGGTAGATGGGCCTTGGGGCTGACCCAGGCTGGTAATGCCTGTGTGTTCCTCTGTGATTGGAACCTGAGGGGGATTTCTGCCAAGTCCCAGTGTCCCCATCCCTTGGGCAACTCAGCTTCACACATGGACTCATAAATCTCCCCAAATCTTGGGGCTTGGCCCATAGAGGCCACAGTGGCTGTTCTGGGGTCGGAAGGTCCCCTTCCCTCTGTTATGTTCACAGCACACACACACAGTTAGAAACAAAGCATCACATCCTCTCACTGGCGGGCTGCAGCTCAACACAGGGTTATTCTTAGAATCCGGAGCCTAGCACACGAGGACCCAGAACAGAGAGAGACAAAGCAGGCTGCTCCTGAAGGCCGATGGGCACAACTAACCCCACTTTGCTCTAGGCTGGGCTCTTTGGCAGATACACAGCTGAAAACCCCAGATCAAGGAAAAAGGAAAGCCCCTTGCAGATGTAAAGTTAGAGCTTGTGATGCTAACACAGTTTTCAATACACCATATTCTCGAGTAGCTGTTCCACGGCCAGAGCAATCTAGTGTGGCCTGAGCATAGCTGAGAATCCGCCCTGTGATTGTTAAGCGCTCAGGGGCCCGGTCGCCTGGGTCCGATCACCCAGCTCAGCACAGGTGGGTGATACAGGAACGTCTCCCTACCAGGACTGTACAGAACATCCCCTCTTGTGTTGCAGATATTGACGAGTGTCAGGGCCCGAACCCGGCAGACTGTGGACCCCACGCAAACTGCATCAATGTGCCTGGGAGTTACTCCTGCAGCTGCATCGATGGCTACGAGCCCAGCTCTGGGAAAGCCAATTTCATGCACACGAGTGAGAACACCTGCCAGGGTGAGCTCTCCCCTGGCCCCATCTGCTGAGACACCGCCCCCCCTCGCACACAGAAATGCTCATTCCAGGTCTGGCGCTGCACCAGAGGTTGCTAGTGCCCCTGAGCCTGGGAAGGGGCCTCGTGTATGGTCCACATATAGCACAGTGCGCTCTGCCCCCTATGGCCCTGGGGAGCAGGGAATAGCCCCAGCGCAGGGCACCTTCGGCCACACCCCCAATCTGCACCCTCCCTCAGGGCTGGGAGCAGAGCCTTTTCCAGCCCCACACTGACAGGGAGCTCCCCTGGATGGGAGGGTGTTTCCCCAGGGGGGCCATTATGCCCCCTTAGGCACCCAGGGTGGCCTGATCGGAGAAGGGGCCGGGGCGTTCCAGGCCCTTGTTTTCGATGTTCAGCTGGTAGTTAGAGCTTGTATCAAGTCCTACCCGGCCGTTCCCATGGAAACCGCCCTTTACACCCCCGTTTGGGGGGCTCAGAGCACCGGGCCCGTCAAACTGGGAGAACTCAGGAGCCCATTCGTTCAAACGCTTCCCCTGGCAGAGACCCCGCCCAATCTGTGAGCCCCACGGGAACTGCATCAACATGCCAGGGAGTTACATGTGTAAATGCAGTGAGGGATTTGGGAAGAGTCAAAAGGATCCGTCTCAGATCTGCACAGGTACAACGGGAGTTGGAAACAGTCGTGGCAAAGGCATGATGTTTCTGGCTTTTCTGCAGTGTTGTTAATGTGTGGTGTTGCCTTAAAGCCCCACCTCCCAGAGTCACGTGATTCCGCTTTTGGCTAAAATCAAAATTAGGGCCTGGTCCACATGGCAGAGGGAAAACTGCCAAACATTACGCTGGGGTGACTGACAGCTCCCAAACCAGAGTCAAACAAAACAAAGCCAATTTTGTCACTTTTTTGCAGCCTGGCTCTTGGTTTGTGGCTTTTATTGATTGCTTGGCGTTGGCGATGCTGTTAATG